CCCCCCACCCCCAAAAAAAAGGAAGGAAAAAATAAAAAAAAGACTAAAGCAAGCCGACAGGAACTAAGAGGATGAGAGAGCCAAATCAGATGAAACTGTATTGACAAGTTTCAATTAGAACATGAAATTTAACAGATGTATCAGATATGATCAAAAAAATATAGTCATCGTTCCCTTGCACACAGACATCGGGGCACATCAATGGCTAAAAAACTTTATTTCCCTCTCCCAGTATTTAACTGGAATTTGGTTGAATTCCTTAAATGCAAGTGCCATAAATCAAGAATAGGAACAATCCTAGGTTTGTGAAGTGTACAAGACATTTGAAGACACTTACCCAACATGCCAGCAGCGCTTCAAACTAAGTGAGGATAACATTATAGTCCTCTGTAATGAAAGATGTTTTATTGACCCGCCGCGGGTGACCCAGACGGTTTGGAGGTTCCAATATGAAACCCACGGTCTTGGGTTCGATGCCGGGTTGGGTTATCAAAAAAAAGGGCTGGCTTATTTATTTCAAGTGAACGTTCGACCATTGATTAGGTGGATTGTTGAATTCATATATATTTTTGTTAAGATTTCAGTCCCAAGCAGTTCAAGACAACCGGATGGTTGACAGCTGTCACATTTGTCAGTTGACAGGTAGTTGAAAGGTGGCCTCAGAACAGCCTCTCCATGTGTGGGGTTAAGAATGCGTACATCTGACCCTCGCCAGATCCCCACAATGGTGGAAGCCTCATGCACTGGGCCGGTCACTATAAGAAAAGTGGTAAAGAGATGCAGTGACAAATATGATCTGTAATCAATTATCCGCAGGTCCTGAGCAGAGATAAAAGTTTACACAGATTTACAAATAAATCAATGAAACTTTCGAATTTAAGAAATTCATGATAAATGATTCCTTTGTTTAGAATGGCTTGATAAGTTCTATACAATCTGAATGAACACGAGCTGGGAGGTTTTATTGGCCTCGTATCTCTATAAAGAATAAAGGAAGAACTTATAAAAGAAAATTTAGATAAAACCAACCACATTGCTAAAAGCTAACACAACCTCGATGTCTAATATAACAGAAGGCCAGTCACATGACAAAACTACAATCAATCTTTAGCAGAAAAATGAAAACTACCAGATTATAACGGATAAAAGAGCACAATAATGTGAACCGTAATCCAAAACACACCTGGAGCTTCGTCAATATGTGTGTGATTGTATGATCTCTAGCTAAACCCAACAGAACACGACAAGCAAGAGCTCGAAGACAGTCGAGAGTTTGAGGAGGTGTTATCATCCTAGGATGTAGAAGATGTAAAAGGACCTTTATACCATTGTTTGCACGAACAGCTTGTCTTGCCAAATGGTATACCTTATCCATCTGAGTAGCAAGGCCAGCAGAACCAGTTCCTGGTCCTAACGATATTCTGCGTTCTCCAACCATACCAGATGAGACCCCAGAAACTGAAATTTGTGAATTACCTCCAGTAAATGGGGCACCTCTTTCCCCCATGTTACCTTCCCCAATCCGCTCCCGGTTGTCATTCTGGGTCAGCAATGGAACAGTGCGATCTGTGATGTTTCTCTCAGTGTTCCTTTCTCTAATTTCTGTAGCTGCATCATTTACAACCGAAACAGATTGCTGACCTTGCGCAGATGCAGAAGGTTTATTGCTGATCGAAGGAGGAGGACACACAAGATTTACTAATACATTCAATGCTGCATGAATCAACTGCCACGAGCGACGTGCAATAGTAAATAGCCACTCGTAAAAGTCAAACATGAAAACTGAGACAAACTTGAAAAACATAGTCACATTAAATTAACAAAAACATACCTCTGCATCCATATATCCAAAACTATTGGCTGCGTCTAATATGACTGCCATGCCAACACGGCCATTGCTCAAAGAGGCATGAACAACAACCTTGCGGCCTTGGGGTATGAATGTAACAATATGAAGGATGCCCAACGCAAATTGGCCAAGTTCATGTAGATATCGCTCACCAGGTGGAGCCTGCAAAGACATCAGAGAAATTCAATTATGCTCTACAAAACAGAATATTTCACAAAGAAGTGAAGTACATCACAAGTAGACAAGCTGAACCTGACATAACTCCAACATAGTTGTATGTCCATTAGAAGTTAAGAACTTGTCAACTGCAGGCCACCGGACCCTCGCAAAGGCAGATCCAAGCTTTCTGTCCCGCTGAATCTGAAGGAAAACTGCATCCATAGCCTCATTGCTGATGTCAAGTGGCTTATTGGCAGCCCTTCGGACTGTTGTACGACTATTTTTATTTGGTCGAAGAGAATCCACAAGCAGAAGTAGATGGGCTCTGAAGTATTGCCTCAGCGCAACACATGTGTGATAAGCAATCTGCTTTTCTGATGCAGTCAAAACTTCCGCAGGTGACCCATCATTGCGCAAAGTTCCATTTGGTATGCCTAATGCTCCTGAGTTTCCACCTGATCTAACTGAAGCAGCACCATGTAAAACATTTAAAGTTTTCTGCAAACCTTCTTGTGCATCAAAAGCATCAAGAATGGCTCTGAACACAAATGCAAAACCTAAGAAAAGAGCAGCATTTTTTCTAGCTTGATCCTGAGGACACTCAAGAAGCTGAAGTGCCAACTCAACCACCTTAAGCACTGTGTCAGAAGGTAACGCACAAACACGTTCCATGATCCCCTGCACGTATTAATATTACATCAACTGTTAAAACAACAGCAGGATGATGCATGCAAGAGAATGAAATGTAAGCTCAAAGCTTATCACCTGAAGGGAGCCAATAGTATATAAGCAAGAAGAAAGCCCAAAGAAGGTTTGAGGGATCCTCGGAACAGAAAGAAGTCCCTGAATACCATTTTTATCAATAAATCCAGCAGCAAATTTCTTATGAGCAGCTAAGACAAAGATTAGTTTGAGAACTTCAGGCAGTAATGTCAACTGCTCAATTGAACCTTCATCCTTCAAACAGTGTTCCAAGAGTGAAATGCACACTTCCACACCTCTTTCTCCCAGAACAGGACCTAAAGCTTCAACATATTCCCCCAGAATTTCAAGGCACTGAATGCAGTATTTTTCTCTGAGTCGTGCCAGAGGCTCCTTATCCAAAATGAACAGTTCCTCCAGCTTTTCATCTATGTCAGACTTCACCATCTTCAAACCCGTGAGATCATTGCTGACTATGCTTGTATTCCTAGAAACAGCGACAATGCTCTAACATGAATATCATTAACCCTATGCTCTCTCATAAAATTGCAACATCAGGTTTGACAAAAATAAATGTGTAGAAAATGGGTGAGGAAAAGAGTACCGTGAAACCTCAACTGCCTTAGCAGCATCCACAACTGTAGATGCAGCTTTAGAAGCAGCTTGAACAGCAGCTTCTTCATCATTCATGTTTTTCCAAGCCTAACAGTGTAAACAATGAATACCAGATTGTGAAGAAAAAACACTCATGTTAATGGAAAATTACAGGATCCAAACTTACCTCAAAAGCAGAAGATTTTACCAGTTCAGCAGCTGCATCTCCAGCTGCTTTGATCGCCTCTTCTGGTGCATTAGCTGTTCTGGCTTCTGCTTCCGCAGCTCTTGTTGCTTTCTCTACAATCTCAGATATATCCCTGGACCCAATAGTGCATCCTCTAAATCGTTCGTCACTATCCTCTTTGATTGTAGAGACATCATAACAAGTCCTGCCTGAGTTACTTTTTGTATCCATAAGTCTTTTGACATCATCATTTCTTCCTTGATTCCTATCCCTGCATTCCCTCACTCCAGCTAACTGTAAACCTGGAGGAGACATAAAAGGTCTTTCATTTTCCAAAGTGCCTTCACTACGGATGCTTTTTCCTCTGCTCCTAGACCAACAACGATTTACCCTTCGCCTTGATGACTCATCCCTCACACTTTCATCAGCAATCTCATCTCTTGTCGCTCTTCCAACAACAGACCATTCACCATATTTTGACCTTCCATCAATCAAATCCATGGTGTTCCTTCCATCATGAGCAAGATCATCATCTTCGTCAATCATCTCATGTATGCCAACCACATGAGATAAGGAATCCACAAGTTCAGATTTCAGCGACTCACCACCATCTACACGGGACTCTTCTCCATGTCCTTGCCTAATACTCATATTTCTTTCACGAGCTCCATCCTGCTCACCTGATAATCCCTCATCTCCAGGTCTTACTCCATCCAATCGAGATGCATCCAAAACCTGCAGAGATCTGCCTCTGCTTTCTTCTCTAACCCTTAAGGGTGTATTGGAATGTTTACTGTCAGTTGGAAAAGAAGCATCCTTCTGACCAACAGTAACATCCCCAAGTATTCGTGTACGCAAATAACGCATTAGCTTTCTCGGCAAACCTACTTCTTTTTTCAGAGCGTCTTCAATCACCTGGCCGGCCCTGAAAAGATCATCACTTGTTAGAAGAGAACATTTGAAAAATGAATGGAANTTCCCAATCAAAGATATCGCAAGGAGTCCAGTAGCATAAGTTCTTAGCATTTCAGAATCTGTTGGTTTATCGCCCCCTAAGTCACGCTTCCAATCACAATCATCAGGAGACACTTTAACTGAATCCTCCATAACCCATGTTCTAATATTATCCACAACATCATCATCAAATACATGTGGGTACTGGAAAGATTTATACACAGGATTGTTATGAAAGGTTAGATTATCAAAGCAAACATTAGAACTACTAAAAGCAAACAGCAATTACGAACACGAGAAACTTACAGTCGAAGTTGTAGAGCAGCTGAGAAGTACCCTAGCAGCAGCAGCGCGGACACTGATAGAGTATCTACTTTCCGATAGTATCTTAGAAGATATCAACTCGTAGAAAGCCTCATTTTTCTCCTTCAAAATCAAAATGGTATGTCACTAAAAAAAGAATAAAAATTCAACTATTAAGCTTCGAAAAAAATTCTTAAGTCCACGCATGGTGATGCAGCGGAAAAGTGAATTACCCGCACTAAGTGCCCCAGCCTCCCAATACTATGAGATGAACGGGCAGTAGTATTCAAAGATGAACTCCCAGTCTCTTTTAGAAATCTACAAAAAAGCATACAGGAAAAGGAGCTGTAATGTGAGCCAACAAAAGAGATTAGCACAAAACACTTGAACTGTATATAAATACAACTACAGGTGTCAGTCTTAAGAAACAACTAAGACCCCAAGTTATGTCCCCTAGGCAGCCAGAAATTTTGATGACCAGAAGTCAATAGTATATCATAGAAGTTGTAGTAGACTTGACTTCTACCTTATTCTGGATAATAGCACACAATAAGTATATAGATAAATTAAATATGGCAGACAAAGTTTCTTTAGTCTTCGAGTACTGATCAAACGCACATAATGATTTTTGAATCAAGGCTGTAGATAACGATGTTGGCGTGTTTGATAATGTTAAAGAACTCATTATTTGGTTACAAACCACAAATGTTCTCTAAAGCACATACTGATTTTTGCAAGTTGGATTCAAGAAAACATTATTTGGTTGAAAACTACAAATGTTCTCTAAAGCAAACTACATTCCGTTGATTTAATTGAAAGGAGGAGTGGTTGTTCTTTAAAGAAATAATATAAAATTAAAAAAAGAAAAAGGACTATCAAATCAGTGCAAATTAGAACTTTCAACTGAAAGAATGGGAATCAAGAAATTGAATCAATAAAGGTCATCAAAGAGGTAACAAACTAATGAGGTTTAACATTTTTTATGGTGCAGGAAGTGGAGTTGGACAATTAAGAGGAAAATTCACAGGCTGTAGCCCTCCTTGTTGCAGTATCTATCTCAACAGTTTTTTCTGTTTGTAAAGTTTGTCCAACAATCCATTAAGGATCCTTTTGTTCCTTAAGAAGTACTGAGTTTTTAAAGGGCGTCTTTAACTACAGGTAGCAGTTTCTAGCTATCTAGATACATGATCAGAGAAGTCCACGGAACCATGGAATATGAACTATTTATCGATTAAATAAGAATAAACGCAATCATGCATAAATATATCTTGTAATATGTGTTACTGGCACAAACTGGCACAAACAAAATGAAACAATAAGGTTAATTTGAGAATAAAAGAAATGAGTGTTATAAGCACAAACAAAATGAAACAAACACTGGTATAAGTAATTAACCACAAATGGAAGATATTTTAAAGACGTAAGAATAAATGATAACATGGGTCTTCTAGCAGGTCAAAAATTCTTGTGATCCTAAGTGACATGGATTAGCTAGGATTCTCCGAAAGATATATTTCTGAAACTAAAAAGGACTTGTATGCAGCATAAAGTTCAAACAATACAACACTCGAAGATTTATACACTATTTATACACAGACAATTTCCATTCCTCCCCCTAAACTTTTCTAATTACTGTTATATTCACCTCTGGAAATTTTAAATCTCAAACATTAGGACAAAAACAAAACTTTCATTAAAAATGCACCTGCAATAGCCCAGCAGCAAATTCTTCTTAGGCATCTCATCAACTACAGTTGTTATTTCCCGGGTTCCAAATGGAACCAAAAACCCCTACGCCTTTTAACCAATATTTCTAGGTCTACAACTTTTTGAATAGCAATAATTACGGTGCAGTACAAAACCAAACAAATGTATACGTCCCTCGTCAATTTCTATCAACTTTTTGAATAGCAATAATTACGTTGCAGTACAAAACCAAACTAATGTATACGTCCCTCGTCAATTTCTATCAAAACTTTTCAATACAACAGTAACTCAGGGTTTGTAATTTTGTGTTACGTTTGTTACTTCCTTGCTTCTAGCGGCGGCCTGCTTAAAAATGTCAAGCTTTTATCGATTACAACTCCTTAATCTGCAGTTTTATCAAATGAGCTCAATCTCTTAAAATTTCAAGCGGCAAGCACTTCATGCCACAAAAAATCGATCACTCAAATATAAAACCCTAATCATGAGGTAGATAGAAGCAGACCTCGATTCTTCAGTTTCGAGAATGGAGGCGAGAGTGTGAAGGTGCCTAGGGTTAGGGTTTGCCCGCACCTCCCAAATCTTGAAGATCAGGTCCTGAGCCCTAGTGAGAAGCGCCTCGTCCTCGCTCTCCCACGCTCGCCCTCCTCCGATCTCCTCCTTCTCCGGCGACCGCCGGCATCCGCCTCCGCATCCGCACTCGCCTCCGTCCGCCGGTGTCGATCGTCTCCGCGGCCGCGTCGTTGTCGCGTTCCCGGCGTCCATCCATCGTTTGAGCCTGAGGGTTAGGGCTTTAACTTTCTTGCGAATTGGTCGAATTAAGAAGTGAATTGAGACGAGAGGGAAAAAGCGAGAGAAAGGCTCAGAATGGGGGGGGGGGGGGGGCGAGGTGAGGCGTAATTATACCTATAATGGTTCCCGCGTACACATGCTTCCGCCGGAATCCGTTTAATGGAGCCGTCAAGATGTGAGAGTAAACTTGGGCCGGTTACCGGGTTAACGGGCGAGGGCCTAAAGTGTAGACTGTTCTCGATGCTTTTCATATTACCTAGTTTCAAATAGGAAAGGCTTTTCTACGTATGGGCCCTCATTGCGCTCGTGCTCGTTTCTCCGCTCATTACTTAATGGTGTGTTTGGGAGTTTAGTGAGGGAAGGGAAGGAAAGGTAAACAACGGGAAGGGAAGGGAAGGGAAGGGAAGAGAATTGTAATATGTTGTTTGGGAGTTGAGTAAGGTGAATGAAGGTGAAAGGAAGTAAATATATGTAAATTTACATAAATGACATTATACTAATAACACATCAGCTCTTTTATTTGTTTTGATAGGGGTAAGAATGTCATTACACCCCTTTACCCTCCTTTACCCTCCTCTACCGCCCAAATCAGGGGGGAAAGAAAACCAAGCAATTTTACCCTACTTTCCCCTTCCTTCCTCCTCTCTACCCTCCTTAAAAAAACTCCCAAATAAGGTGAAAGCCTCATTTCTCTTCCCCTCCCCTTCTCTACCCTCCATCCAAACAGGGCATAAGAGTCGGTAATTGCATATGGGCATCGCGATTCTAGATTGTACAGATATGTAATTAGAAACATGAGTATTTAGTAAGGGTAAGTTTCATAAAATCTCTAAACCTTTGGGATATTTCCTATTAGCCCCTTGAACTTTGTTTTCCTAATCCCTAGATCTTTCTCAACGCAACTTCTTGAGCACTTTCTATTGAGCACTCTTTCTCGGCTCTCTTTTCTTCGTGCACGGGTCAAGATCAAAAGCTTTTGCTCTTTTTCTTTGGTTTAAAAAAAAATTCCAAATCTCGTACATTTTTTATTAAATCTTGCCTCTAATATTAAGGGATTATAAACTTCAGGTTATTTTTTTCTACTTCCAATTAAAGAGCTAGTTTTATGGTTTAAGAGTGAGTACACAGATCTGTACAATGGTGCGACTAACCTAGGACATTTGTTATGGTTTAAAAATTGGTGTTTGCAAAAGTTGAGGGGTTTTGTGGGAAAATTAGAATAACAAAGATTATGGGGTATTAAGGGAAAAGAAAACAAAGTTCAACGGTTTTTTGGAAGAAACAACCCCATTTCGGGAGGTTTTTAAAAGTTAACCTTTGATTGAATATGATACTTAGGAGTTGTTTGATCTGTTGATTCCATCTTGATGTGTGTAATGGATTTTGAAAAATCTATACTAAAATATTTTATTGGCTTATGATAGATATTAAAGAGAATTTCTTTAAGGGATAAAATGCAACGATAATTTGTTTGATTGCATGTGAACTTTTATTGAGGATATGTGATTAAAATCATAAATCTAATTGAAATCAGTATAATTTTAGGGAATCTCATTTGATGCAGCTATTTTATGTAGCAATCTAAAATTTGTGGAATAAAAAATAACAAAAAAAATATTGTATTTAGCAAAAATTTAGATTATTAAATTTATAGATCTTATTTTACAATGCAATACTCACCAAATGCATGGAAACAAAATGTTCCTTCGATTCTTATGTGACACTTAAATGACGCACTCTGCATTTAGCAAGTAAACATGAAGGGGCTATTTGTTTCCATGAATTTTGCATCATTGCATTAGAAAAATAGGACCCACAAGTTAAACATCATGGATTTTTAACAAATATATTGTTTACTTGTCATTTTTTGCACATTGCTGGGTTGCCACATAGGATAAATGGATCAAATAAAATTCTCTAAAATTGTGTTGATTTCAACCGGATTTGTGAATTTTAGTCACATATCCTCAATAGAATTCATGTACAACCAAATGAAACTTGATTGGATTTTATTCCTGATGCAAATCATCTTTAATATCCATCACAAACAAACACAATTTCAGTTATGAGTTTTTAAAAATCTATTATATGTATCAAGATTAATCCACAAACCAAACAGCCCCAAAGACTCATGGATGATGCCATGTAGGAGCTTGCTTAGCTCCACGTAGATATCTTAGTGGCATTTGTGCATGCTGCTTTGCGTGATGATGGGCACCTGTTGGGCTTTTCTGGGCTTGAATATAGTGGTGGACAACAGGCTAAATAAATACAAGGAAAATTTGTGTCAAGGCCCTTAAAAAATAAAGCTCATGTGACCCAACCCCGTATACTTCTTCCCATGTTGTTTAACCCCAAAAACCCAAGCAAATATGGTCCGGCCACAAAAGCCCATAAATCAATATGTATTATACATATTTCCTCTCCTCTCCCTAAATTACCCCTCTCCTCTCCTCGTGGAGAAAATCCTAGCAATGGCGATTGCGAAAAATGCAAGGCGACGACGAAAATGGAGGAGAAAATCTAGGTTCATCTCCATTAATCCACTCTCTTAACTCCTATCTCTCATTTCCCTTTCCCCTTTCCTTCTCCCCTCTCTCCAAATCCAAGTTTTTCCCCATGAATTCAATGGTGAATCTCCTCAAATTCTCTTCACCCTTTAAAAATTCGAGAAAACCAGCTCAATGGAGCTGATACTCCCAAGACTAGAGTGATCTCGACTTCGATTATGGTTTCAAAAGATGGAGGGTTTGAGCCGTTAGGGTTTGACGGGACTGAGTTGCAAGGACCGAGCTTGTTGGAGTGTGACGTTAGAGGGGGTTAAGGTTGCAGCGATGCTAGGGTTAGCTTTGGTGATGTGTAATGTTGATCGAGTTGCGATGCCGGTTGTGATTGTTCCCTTGTCTAAAGCTCATGGATGGAGTCAGTCTTTTGCCCAAGTTGTTTAGGTATTGCTTAGAGTTTTGTGCTCCCATTCGGTAAATGTTCGGAGGAGGGGGGCATTACTTTGCATGAAAGCTCTTAACTTAATTTGAACTTCATTCTTGCTATAGTTGTGTATTACGAGGATCTTCGGTGAATTTGTGGCAGAAAATAGGGGAAACCTGGTTTTTAATGACACTCTTCAAAGTAATATAGAGCACTGATTATAGAATATTGCATTTACCTATCAAATTTACAGTTAGCCAAACAATATTATGACATTAGAAACATAGAAATGAAGAATTAAACATGACTCTAACACCAATACTAGGAACAACTCATACATAATGATCTACCCATCATCTTCTTTCAGAGTTCAAATACAAGCATAAAATTACTGCAACTATAAAGTCAAGCAACCAATGTATGGGTTACTACCAATATTTAAAGGAAACAACTACCCATGGAGAAGTACTAAAGTGACCACCAAAAATTCGGGTTTCTGTAATGTGAGCTTTGTGATTTCAGGTTTAATGTTTCATATGATAGTCATATCTTAATTGTCAGCCTTGGTTGTTAATATTTTCAGTTAGATGTTAGATATAATTGTTATATGTTAATTTTCTATCATATCTGTTAATTTTAGACCACATCTATTAACTACCAATTTTTTTCTATACGTGTGAAACTTTTGGGATACATATTAATACTAACGCTGAACTATTAACTTTTAGTCATACCCGTTAATTTTATTGCAGATACATATTAAGAAATGTATACTTATATAATTTTAAATTTTAATGTTTTTAGCTATGGTCATGTAACATCTAATGTTGTAGAGTCTTTTAATAACTGGATACGGAAAGCATTTACATCTGTGAAAGTATTTAAAAAGAGCTATGAGTCAGTCCTTTATCTCATCCCAGATTATAAGAGACATAGTGTACCAAGATATAAAATCGACATATTATCACTAGTTTCTACTAAAATGAAGGGAAAAAATAGAACAAGATGTATCAAAAATAGAACCAGTGTAGTGAAATGTTCTCGACGCAAAGCTAAAGGTCACAATCGAGTTACTTGTGAGGTACCAATTGGTGATTAGTGTGGATTTCTAAGTAGTACTATACTTTCGGTAGAGCTATCTAGGTTACCAAGATTTTTATAGCTTAATATGAAAGATTGTATAATGTGGATATAAGTTCTTATATCAAGTCCTTTAGTGTGGGTTCAAGCTATACCCGCTTCAAGAACGTAAGACTAATCAATATGAATGTAAGACGAATCAATATAAAGTATCTATTTACTATTCTAGATATTATCAAATATGATCATGTATTTCTTGACTATAACTAGTAATTGTTAACTATATGCAGATCATGTTAACTATCAGAGAAAATTGTTAACTTCAATTATTATCTATTAACTATTCTTTGTTCATATTAACTATCTCGATTATCTGTTAACTATTTCAAGAACCTAAACTTAAAAATCTTAACATTATATGTTCTTAATGTTTGGATATTCCTGTTATCTATGTAATTATATGTTCTTAATGTTTGGATATTCATGTTATCTATGTTTATTTAAATCTTAAAATTTTCATACTCTCTCCTAATCCTAAACCTCCAACTCTCTCCTAACATAAACCAATGTTAGCGATTACATGAGATAGTTAACATGTATTGTGTATAGTCAACAGAAATAGACCAATATTAGCAGTTACATGTGATAGTTAACATATATTATGTATAGTTTATAGGAACACACCAAGATTATGTATTATGTATACTTTATAGGAACACGCCAAGATTAACAATTTCATGAGATAGCTAACATGTATTAAAATCCTTTTTCGCATTTGGAATATAGAAGAGAAAATAAATTCATGCTCACTGTCATGTGACTAATAAAGTATTTGTTAACTATATCCACTACTTACTAAATTTA